CCATTTGCATTCCCTTCTAAGCATTAATCTGATTCACTACAGTGCACATAATAACCCTTCCCTTGCGTCTGTAGGGCTTTAGGTGTTGTCTTCCAAGAATTTTTAGCATGATTCAAAGAATACCCCCGTCAGCAACATTTCATGTTCAGTTTCCTTTTGGGTGATATATAATTCTCTGAAATTAACCCTTACTTCACCAAGACTAGACAACCATTCTATTCCCAGAATCAAATCTGTTCCGCCCAACTCCAAAAGATAGAAATCTTGTTTGATTTCTATCCCATGCACCCAGATTTGTAACTGTTCACACCTTCCTCGGTTTACTATTCAGACTCCATTTTCCAAATCCACTTGGAACCCCGTATTGCTATTGTAAGTTCACCCCATCTCTTCCACCAACTTGTGAGAAACAAAATTATGTGTAGCCCCAGAATCAATGAGAACCAGCGCCAATAACTTTTATTCAGATATCTCACTTGGCCCATGATTTTAAAGGTGTTTTGAGTGTATATTCCCTCCTTGCTCAAGAGGTTCAGCTCCAGCGATTTAAGTTTTTCCTCTACTGCTTCCTCTTCTACTTCCAAGGGTGCTTTCATGTCTTCTTCTAAGTCCTCCCCATTCTCCGTCAATACAATCTAGTAATTTTTCATCTTGCATACGTGTTCTCTGTTCCACTTATCTCCGCACGTAAAACACAATCCCTTCCTTGTTATATCCTGTAATTCAGCTTGGGAGAGTTTAGGACCCCCCTTTCCATGCTCGATGACCCCCTGCAAAGTTCCTGTTCTTCCAGTTTTTACTCTCGATGTACCCTACTCCACAGTTGGGGTTTTACTTGAGATCACTCTCCCTTGTGATCCTCCCGTCTAGTACTGCAACTTAGAAGCGTGTCCCCCCTTTTCTGTCCATCCCCTTTTGTCAACCTTTCTGTTTCGAACCCCTTTTACTGTCATTTTTTTGTTCCACGAGTAAGGCCTTATCCATTAATTATGTGAGTCCACTGGACCGGTACAACTTCAATTCAGCCCGATATCCTCCTCGAGTCCATTCAAGAATACCCCCTTTAGCATTTCCTGATTCATGTTCTTTACTGGAACGACAACCAGTTCAAACCTATCTTTATATTCCATCACCGACTCAGTCTGTTTAATACTGAGCATCGGTTTGAATGGGTTCTGCACAAGTTCTGCTCCGTGTGTTCATCCCACCATTGATACCAATTCAGAGTTGTACCCTCCATGGCGATGAGCACCGCTTCCAGCTTTTCCTCGTCGCCTACTTGATTAAGCTTGAAAAACCTCTCAACCTTGATAATCCATCTATATGCATCATTACCATTAAACAAAGGCAGGTTTACCTTTCTTCCAGTGCGGATCCTCTCTCTGTTAATAGGAATATCGTGCTGAATGGAAGGCGTCAGAGAATGTTCAGAATGACGATTCACACGTGAGGAGTTCACACTCCCAGATAGTCGGCGATGCCCGGGCGTTCGTGAACGACCCTTGGTTTGTCAGCGGTAGTTCTGGTTGATGAAGTTCATCATCGCCTCTCGCATCTCATTCACCGAGCGCTCCAGATTGTCGATTCTATTCTCCATCTATGATCTAGTACGATCCATAGTCCTGCGATTGGTGCTCTGATACCAAATGAGCGTACGAACTCCACACACTACAAGTATATTATACTCCCTCCGTGCCTCATAACTTTGCTAACTTTCCTTTTTTGGATGTCCCACTAACTTTGCCACTTTCCCTTTTAAGTAAAAAATTTGTGGTTTTAGCTCATTCTCTTTCCTCTGCACAAATCTTAACCACAAAGTTTTTACTTTATTATTCCCCGTGCCGGTCAAACTTGACAAAGTTATTAGGGACGGAGGGAGTATTTATCACAAAAACAGAGAAATTACAATTTAGAGGATGAACGGAAATTGAAACGAGGATAAACTGACGTGGATACACATTGAGACCAGTTCGAGAGGGTCTCTCTCTCCACAACTTTTGCCCACTTTCCTGAATGCTTTCTCTCCCCAGTTGGTTACCTTTTATTCCCTCGACCACACGTACACTTCATCACCAGTTGGTTATGCTTTCACTCTCTTGTACTGATAGTCTATTTCCCCTTTTACCCTTACAGTTATAAACTTTAGAGAAATCCTGATTGTGATTAAATCTAAAATTTGTTGGGCTCGGATCATGAAATGTATTTAAATGTGACGAATGAGCAATTTCGGACTCATTTCCCATAAAGAAAATGAGATATATTTATTACAAAGACCGGATGCACACCCTTGTTTGTCAAGTTCTTCCCCTAACCATACAAATGGACCAATTTATCCTCTTTAATGAGAGTCTTACATTGTATATGGAATATGTTAGAAGTTACATGAGAAAATTATAATTGCAATGCCTTAAGAATATGTGTCCGCAAAGGGAAACAAACAATTTTTTCGCTATGCCGAAAAAATGTTTCATTTGTATTTTATAGCACCTCCTCTTCCTTTAGAGGAAGATCCAAATATGCTTTGCTGCTATCCGCTACCCCCTAACCCCACTTTCTATTGTAACACCAGAATCCCAATAGAAAGAGCTTTTATACATGAATAATAAGACATCATTCACGTTAAATAAACAAAAAGGGTCCACGTGTTTCTCGGGTTATACTTTAAGCAAAAAAACATCATGTTATAAATCACCAATCAAATGAGGTTTTACATTCGTTTTACACATGGACACATATAAGTTGCGGTTTTAGAATAACAAGTCTACATGAATTGAAGCTTATGATATGCGTAAAGATGAAAACCAATCAAGTTTTTGTTGAATTTTGTTATAAAAAGAAGTTTATATTAATTTGCAAATTTCCTTCACAACCTCATGGACTTATATGCATGATTTTCATATGACTTCTTTTGACAAAAAAGAAACTTATTTATTAATGGTAAAAGCAACAAGAGATAAAGCAATACAATAGCTCGAAGCTACACTAGGATGAGACATAGAATCAGATGGCCTCCAAGGACCAAACAAATTCGCTAATCCCGCAATTATGTAGACTAATATAACAACATTGCTGAACTTGCTACTCAAAAGACAATCAAGAGAAAATAAATTGTCCAAACTAGAAAGGAAACAAATTTAGACAAGAATCCCAGCTTCACCAGCCACCGGAAAATGGAGAATTGGTTTGACCAGCAACCAACAAAGGAAACTCAATCGAACATAAATTTTCCGGATCATCGATTTGACTAGCCACTGATAAAGAGATCGAGTTGAGCGTTTTCTTCTTTCCGGAAAAAGCTTTCCCAACCATGAACAATGATATTCACCGGATCAATTACATTGATGAGAAATACACAACCTGCAGACATTGGTAAGGGAATAATATACCACACTCTCACATGATGCGAACAAAACTCTCGGCTAACAAAGAAGTCAGACCAAAACACTCGAAAGTAGAAATTAAAAAAGAGCGGAAACATAGAAAAAATCTTTGATTCGATCCTTCACTGCTCAAGGAATGTCACAATCTTCCAAGATTCTTATTGATTGAAAGAAGGCTAGAAAATGAGATTTTGAATGAGGTCGAAATTGCCCGCATAGGGTTTCCCCTTGGACCGGCTCTCAAGCGAGAGGAAAGTACCAAGTTTACTCATCGACTTCTTTGTATGTCCTAATATACTTGTTTTACCATTTATTTTTGATGACGGTAAGTCCTCGCACTACGAAGGTTCCAAGTGTTGTATCCTGTCTGCAACATCTCGTCAGAGGTATGCCGGATGAGACGAGTACCTTGACCGAGCCTTACTAGATTCTGAACGTGAGTGTTGGGCCTAATCAACACATTGGGCCGCTGGAGGTATTCGATCCTACCCGTCGTTGGGCCCAATACCCTAACAATTTCTTAGTTTGATATTACAATGACATCGTATCTAGGGTTGTATTTATAATCTTTGGTCATATGAGTTTTATGTCAAAATCACATTTAGTCCATGTTTACATTGTCCACATTTAGTACATGGTTAATGTTTTTTTAATCATTTGTGATCCTTTCGTGCAATGTTCTGATGCCTCTCCAACGACTTTAACCATTAGAAAAACAATAACCATGTATCAAAAGTGCTTATAGTCCAAGAAATGCACCGATTGTGAAATTGATACAATACTCTTAGGACCTAAAGTGGATTTTAAAGCAATTTATTCTCTAAAAACCTTAAATAAATTTGTTTTTAAATCGGATACATGGTAGACTCAACGCATAATAGAGGAAAACTCTAGGGTCTCTCTCCATGGTCTATGAAGTCTGCCTCGTAGTTGATCGCCGAAGGATTCTGGTGAAGATTGTTTCCGTTCATGTGCTTCTTTGCCGAAGAATTGTGAGATTTGCTCTTGGGGATTGTTGGTTGGAGTATGATTAATTCTCTTCTTTTGTTGTTGTGTTTGTTCTATTTATGACGGTTCTATCCCGGACACTAACGCTCCATAGTGTTTGTCTCCCTCGTTATGGGGAGTTGCTTTGGTGTCCCTGTCAGTTTCAACTGATCACGAGCTTCTCTCTGCCTTCATTTGGGCAACGTAGAAAATGGAAGAGGAATAAAAGTGTCTTTTACTCCACCTATTTCTACGTTTATTTTAAACGAAGAAAGAAAAAGAATTTAATTTTCACTCATACTACACCAACTCCTCATCCTCCATCTCTAGAACCACCTCCATGCCAAATTTTAGTGTTTATTTTAATTCGAGTAGTCATAATTTGAATATTTGGATACATAGAATACTTTTGTTAGACAGTGTTTTTGTTCCGCTTGTTTTAGGTTTAAAACTGTCCGTTTTGTGTCCTACGAGTCTATTCCCAGAGCTTATAATTGGTTCTGTAATAACTGTTTGTAAAAAGTGTCTTATGTGATATTCCAATATTAATATAAAAAGCGGCTCTTTTAAGTTAAAAAAATGAGATACATGACAAAAATAAAATAACAAATTAAATGCAGGGGCAGAAAACGAGCTTTGGAAGAAGAGATGCCCCTTCGACGTCAATTTCACGATTTCATCGAATCAAATGTGTAAAAACAGAAAAAACAGCACAGCGGACCGCGACCAGGCAGAGACATAGAGAGAACGAAGACGGAGGTGGAAGAAGCACGAAAGAAGAAACAGTGAAGCTTTCACCACGATCGGATTCAAACTCTATTCAACGTTTGTCTTCTCTCTATAACACCTGAGAAATTCCATGTATCAATTCTACGATAATTTACGCACAGGGAATTTATCTGTTCGGAACAATCTAACTGGTCAATTTTGGCATTGACGCCGGTTCGAATTCTGGATTCGTAGCAGCTGCCATTGCCTTACATATAAGGCAATTTTGGGCTCTCAGATCTGCTACGACCTGAACCGTGCCGCAGCTGCCTGCCTACGAAATGGACGACCTGGATGTGTTGGCCAGAGACTTTGGAATACGACCTGGCGGAAAATCGGCTCCCATGAGATCCGGACATGGGGATCGCCGGTCAAGTTCCGTCCGGTCCTCCTCGTCCTCTCCATTCGTAGACGATCCAGATGGAATGCTGTTCAATGACGTTTTTGGTGGTCCGCCTAAATACACGACCTCCACTAACAATAGCAATAAGAGCGCATCGGCAACAAATGATTTGGATTACGATTCAATTTTCAAGCCCAGCAATGATCCTAAGAGCAATAAGGAAAGCAGCAGCAAGACGTCTTCTGTGCCGGTGTATGACAAGCCTGTCTACGATGATGATATTTTTGATGGATTGCCAGGACTGAAGAGCAAGCCAGTTTCATCATCAGCTAGATTTGATGATGATGTGTTTGCCTCAATATCTTCACCCCCAAAGAAGAATTACAGTAGCGAACAGCTTGATGATCTGCTAGGAAATTTGGATAGAGGTGAGAAGGTGGCAGAACTGCGGAGCAGTAAGAATTCAAGTTCGAGTGCATTTGATGATTTGCTAGCTGATTTTGCGAGTGTAAGTCCAGCAACCACGAAGAGGTACACTGAATATCTTTCTCTAATAAGTAATAACTTTATCTGTGTCAATGTAGAATGTGATGTAATTATTAGTTGAATTTGATGACCGTATGTGAAGATTATAAACAGTAGTGTTTTTTATATGTACGGATTGACTCACTGATCTATAAAGGACTGGTGGTGATTATGTAGTAGAAGCTGTATTTCGATCAAGTAAAACTGAAGTCATGGCCATTTCAATGGTGTGTCATTGGTAAAGTTGAACTGCCATATCTGCAGATTGCAGTAGGCAGGGTATGTTGTCCTCAACAACTTATATGTGGGTGTGATTTACAGAGGAAAAGAAAAGAGATTTACTTGTTAAGTCTCTCACAATTTTGACACTTTCCACAGTTGCTTTAAGAAGTATCAAGTTTTTGCTGGAAGGGGCTTTTCTCAGTTTTATGTACTTTCTGAACTGTCCTAAACTGGCCATAACACAAATTTGGAGTGTTTTATCTTCAATGAAATACGGGGTAACATACCGGAACCACATATTTTGGCTTCCTAGAATGCCAAAGCTAGTGGATCAAGACATCAAGTCAAACTTTGTTGGAAAGCTTGACTCAGTTTTTCTGAACAAATGTTTCTACACTTTACATCTTACTCTGTTTTTTGGTACGCCATAGTTTCAATCTCAAATTAGTTAAGGAACAACTGTCTTTTCAATTTTACAGGCCATCTACTGGGTCTAGTAATCAACAACCTTCAAAACCGTCCGGCAGTTCAAGTCAAACATCAAGTACTATGGATGACCCTTTTGTCGTATTAAGAACAACTTCACCCCCCGTGTCTTCTTCAGGGGTATTTTCTGATCCACTTGAAGACATTACTAAGATTGGTAAACCTGCAAGTTCAAAGGTCAATTCTTCATCTATAGGTGGGAATGTATTTGATGACTTGGATCTACTGAATGGTTTTGGTAAATCTGCTCCACAATTATTCCCTGATAGGAATAAAATAAGTAAAGAGTCAAGTCCTTCATGGGATGATGGACCACTGACAAATGAGTCAGAAGTACTCACATCTAAAGAAAATATTGTGAAATCTTCGTCTAAGCATTCTGAAATTCCAGGGGACAGCTTTCAGGAGCCTCCTCTTTTTGACATGCCTCTAGACGAGACTCGGAAGAAAACATTCAGTCAATCAGCTTCCCCCCCTTCATATGAAAGTGCAAATCATACTGAGACAAGCTCCCAGGTGGATACGTCTCCTAGGTCAGAGGGACCAGTTCAACCATCAGAAGATATTTGGCTCACTGTATCAGAGATTCCTCTTTGCACACTACCCACGAGTGATCCACCTCCATCCCGGCCCCCACCTCCAATTCCAAGGTGGACCTCAAAGTCAGAGAGAGTCTTCTCTACTTCACAGGCAAGAAGAAGAGTTGATGATTCTTCTTCTTCACCGAGTTATGGACAATACTCTCGAAGTCCTAACCCTTCTTCCTCCGCTGCTAATAAGAGCCCTCCAGTTTCACAACTGGATGAACTTGAGGAATTTGCCATGGGAATGACTCGAAACAGTATTGATGGAAATGATGTTTTTAATGGTGAAGAAGTAAATGCAAACACTGCTGCTGCTGCAATGAAAGAGGCTGTTGATAATGCTGAGGCTAAATTTAGACATGCTAAAGAAGTACGGGAAAGAGACTATGTAAAAGCTGCTAGAAGTAAGGAAGCTGTGCATCTGGAAAGTGATGACCAAGTCATGCATGAGATGCAAGCAAAGGAATACAGGGAAACCCAAGAAAGATTAGAGTTGGAACGAAATCAACGTGAAAAGGAAGAGCAAGAGAGGGAACAGAGAAGGCTCGAAAGAGAGAGGGAGCTTGAAAGGGAGAGGGCCAGGCAAGCTGTAGCAAGGGCTACAAGGGAAGCACGTGATAGGGCTGCAGCTGGGGCCCTCGAAAAAGCAGCTGCTGAAGGTCGTAAGAAAGCTGAAAAGGCTGCTGTTGAGAAGGCATCAGCTGAAGCACGAGAGCGGGCTGAGAGGGCTGCGGTTCAGAGAGCACAAGCAGAAGCTCGTGAAAGAGCTGCTGTTGCTGCTAGGGAAAGGGCAAATGCGGAAACTAGGGAAAGAGAAGCACGTGAAAAAGAAAAGGCTGATGCCGAGTCCCGCCGTCGTGCAGAACGAGCTGCCGTAGAAAAGGCTGCTGCAGAAGCACGTGAGAGAGCTGCTGCTGACGCTCGAGAAAGAGCTGCTAGGACGAGTCAACAAAAGAATGATAATGATCTCGAGTCCTTCTTTAGTACTCGATCAAGCAATGTGCCAAAAACTACTACTCCGGTGAGTAGTCTATAAAAATCCATGATATACCCCGTCCGTTCTCTTTTAACTGTCTCTTTAGATTTAAAAACCTGTTCTCAAATAACTGTTGCTTTAGGATCTCAAGAGAGAATTCACTGATCGTTTTTCACAATTACACTCATTTTTCCTCAAATGAATAAATGTTACATAGTACTGAAACATTAATAGGGCTATTCTAGTCATATCATACTACTTTTTCCTTGCTTTTAGTAAAATATTGTTTTCTGGGTGTATACCTTCTAAGGAGTTTAAATTGTCTAGTTCAGAATACTTCAGATCATTCAAGATTCCAAAAGTCCTAAAATGTCTTTAATATCCAAATGGATACACATAGGATGTGGTAGAACTAGAATGGCCCTTGCATCCTCAGTTGGCTTTTTATGCATATACTTGAGCTCTCCCTTTCATTTGCTTTTAAACAAAGGAAATGAAGTTCGATGCACAGTTCCAGAATAAGGGAAGTTCTGAGAGGGCAAAGTCACCGTTTTCTTCTGGCGGGGTCTCCTCTAACATAAAGAAAGTTACACCCACCAATAATATGGTAGATGATTTGTCTTCAATTTTTGGAGGTATTTATTTCATGCTTTTCCTATAGTCTTCCACGGAGTCTTGGATATTAATTCTTCCTCAAAGATTTATTTTTATTTTTATGTGAATAGATTTTCCATCTCCCGGAGAGTTTCAGGAGGTTGATGGGGAAAGTGAGGAAAGAAGAAGAGCTCGAATGGATCGTACTCAGCGTACTCAGGAGCGTGCGGTATGTTTTCCAATGGGTGTGGTCATTTGGTTCCACATGTTGGAACATACTCCCCCCACAGATATGATTACATTTCAATATGTGTGCCTAGTTTTATGTGTGGCTGATAAATGAGATTGGGCAGGCAAAAGCTTTGGCGGAAATGAATCAACGTGATCTTCAAGTCCAACGGGAACAGGAAGAAAGACACGTAAGTACCTCTTTGAACAGCATACTGCACCTTAAATAGCACAATGTTTGATGCTATCTATCCTTCAAAAGGTATTAAACCATTTAATTGTGTTGCATGGTCTTCGTGTTCCTAAGACAATGGAGATGTGTCCATGTGTATATTTTAAGAATTCTTACCTATTAAAAAGAATAAGAAATAGAATGTTGTTAGTCATCTTACTCCTACAGTCCTACCATTGCTAATGTGCCGTCTCTGTCTGCTCCACAGACTAATTTTTTATTTAACAAATTGTTTCAGTGGCCAGGAATGTAGTATGGCAGTAATGTTTTAGATGTAATTCGATTAAACTGTGCACTTACCTCATGATCTGAATTCTTGGTTAAATAACTTACGATGTTTTATTTTGCAATTGACATTTATAAAAAGAATATTTTATATCTTAACAAAGCAAATTTAATCATGTGGGCAGCACATATACACTCCACACCAAATCAATAACAGTACATTTTCCCCTCCTCATATCTGATTGGTTGGCACATGTTTTCAGCGGATTGCTGAGTCATTTGATATTGAAATCAAGAGATGGGCTGCTGGAAAGGAAGGGAATCTGCGGGCACTTCTATCGACTTTGCAATATGTGAGTTGGACTACCCCCCTCCACCCAGAGTTACACTTTATGAGGAATTGTAAACAGCCCAGAATATAAAAAGTAGAAGGTTAAAAAAGAACAAGGAAACAAGAAGGGGCTCATTTTATCTAAGCTGATGCCTATCATCCCCTATACTTCATATTATAACTTTAAGTGTATATCTATATTCATTTCACGATTTTGCCCGTCTTATGTATTACATAGTACATGTTACATGTTATCAAAGGGCTTTATAATATTAAGAATATGCAATTTTCATTATTTACAAAGTCCCGGACCTATGTAAAGTTATATAATTCATCCTCGTAACATTTGCTTTAGCTTATATCACATTATTATGGTATATTTGTTTGGATTAGTTAATTTATTAAAATTCTTTCTAAGTGAATGACACAATTATTCACGTGGAATGAATGATCAGGTTCTCTGGCCTGAATGTGGTTGGCAGCCTGTTTCGTTGACAGATTTGATCACTGGTGCCTCTGTCAAGAAAGTGTATAGAAAAGCAACCCTTTGTATACATCCTGATAAGGTACAACAGAAAGGCGCCACTCTTCAGCAGAAATATGTTTCTGAGAAAGTCTTTGATCTGCTTAAGGTACTTTTATTTTCTGAGTGATCTAAATCCATTGTCTATTGTAATCGTAAGATTGAACTGGCATTTATATTCAATGTTAGTATGGCACGATTGATATACATATGTGTATCAGTGATTTAGTGTGTAGATTTCATTTTTTAAATATAAACAACGGTTTATCTCTTTCTCTCTGCCTTTCTATAAAAACAACCAGTATACTGATAATCTGTAATAAATTACTCCTTTGATTCTGAAGACTAATGCAAATTAGTGGGCCTTAATTGTAATGGGCTATTCCCTATGATTACTGAATCCCAGGGTTTCTATTAGCATACTATAATTATTAATACCATTTTATCACTATACTTACAGCCTTACAGGAGAAAGCAACAGTTAAAAATGTAATATTTGATTTACAATTATTCAACTAGTTTTACTACTCAAGTATTACTTTATTAATATTGAGGGTGAATCGTTATAGGAAGCATGGAACAAATTTAACTCGGAGGAGCTATTCTAGAAAGTCTACTACATGTATTGATTAGCTTTGTGTGGCTGTTAGTGATGGGACGGAGTGTATGTATAGATGAAGCTATGTATGCATGCACCATTGGCATTGTTGATGCTTATATGCACATAATTTACTTGTGATGTTGGGGTCTTCCTTTGCTTGCTTTCTAGCAAAGCAATGCAAAAGCTGGGTTTATTTAGTACGGTGAAGACTGAAGAGGCATTCATTTGTTGTTGCTGCTGCTGCTGGGATGCATATGGTAAAATTAAGTATCATCCATCTGTTTTGTAAATTGATTTTATTGCCGGTGATGAGTTATACGATGTATACTATATAGTTTTGTTTCCAATCATCATGTGGTTCTATGTCGCGTTTGGTTGCCTCCCACTTCATCTGGATGCTGCAGATGAACTTTGTTTTTTAATCACATTGTTGTGAATTTTACCCTTTGTTTGGTGTAATGCAAAATGTCTTCTCTCTTTCCTTTTTTGTTTTCTCAATCTCCATATGAGAACTGCAATGTACTTAGCAAAGATCTATATTATGAAATGTAATTTTTTCTTTCTTTTCATTTTGTATATCTTCGTATTTTTTATAGCTTGAAAATGTCTTCTCAACAACTGCATTTCTAACAATGAGTCAATGACTTCCATTTGTTGCACTTGCTTCCTAACAATTTTCATGTCAATAACAACTGTACATTTGTCCATTTGAATGGCGGCATGTGTACTTTGTCTGTCAAAAATCGATATGCTTGCAGAGGTTTGGAATGTGGAGCATTGTAGGACATGTAAAGAAGGGTAACCCCAATTCTGAACTTAAGAATTGAAAGATTTAGCATTGGTTGGGTCATTGGGCTTGATTTCATTTAAGCAATGACGTTTAATTCCAGATTTCCAGTTCCGTTGCTTTGAGCCTTTGACCTAATTTTCAGAACATAAAAAATGGAAATGGGTTTTGATCCCAATTCTCAAAACATAAATATGGAAAAGGAAAACCACTTCCATTCCAGCACAAGAAAACAAGCACATTTTCGGTCTTTTTACGGTTTTACCCGCCAGTACGGTTGGGAACCAAGTCCACCAATATGTGAAGCTAATATGTTCCTCCTCCACTATGGAGTGCTTTATTCTTTAAGGGGTAGGCCATAGGGGTAGATCTCCAATACAAGTTGAAGCACTTGGTTCAAAAGTGGAATCTCCCACCCCAGGAGTCCCACCCCGACATGACAGGATGGTGGGGATTGGGGAGGTTAATCACGGTGACTCAGTCATCAAAGCGGTGGTAGGCTTTATACACGTGCACATCAGAGGTCCAGCCTTATTTCAGGTTCTGTAACATCCACATGGTCGCTGCAGGTTTCGAACCTTGATCACTTGGTCCAATTTTCCCACCACTCGATCAACTGAGCTACCCATGCTGATAAAACTAAGGTATGGGTAAACTTTTTATAGTGACTAACTCCACCGCTTTCACGGGAATCACGGCCCCTTACCCCAGAACCCCAACTTTGGTTTGGCCCCTACGGATTAGTATACACTGCTTGACCCTACCACTTGAAGGATTTTTTGGGGGAGCATAGTACCACTGGTGCTAGTGAAACTCGAACACAAGACCTTTCCTATGCAAGGGTAACCTCACAACCAGCTAGGCTAGATGTTCTGGTTAACAAGTTGAAACACAATTGGTGTACCGTGTGCGCTGGTTCAATCTGGGAGCCCAGGTGGTGTTGTGATTCCTTCATTTTCATAGCTCAAGGACAAAATTTATTATTTACATTTTTGCTTTGGGAAAGTTCCCGAAATAGGACTAAAACGGTTTGAAAATTCCAAAGTAGAACTGTCATGTTTTTTATTCCCAAAATAGGACTAATTACTGCCATGCTTAGAAAATACTGCCATGTTTGAAGTCTGGTACTGCCAAAACATGACAATAATTAATCCTATTTTGGGAATAAAAACATGACAGTCCTATTTTGGAATTTTCAAACTGTTTTAGTCCTATTTCGAGTAATATCTCTTTTGCTTTTTGTTGCATCTTGCAACAAACTCGCGGGGGGATTATAGTAAAATATTGGAACAAAAAAGGATACTCACATAATCACATTGCAATGTTCCCCAAACAGCAAAAAATATGCATAAAAATTGGGCTTAAAATTCCATGCAATGTAAATATATTATTTATACAAATGTTATTAATTTGTACATTGACATTAGAGTACAGCTGATCTAAACAGCAATTCCCCAAGTGTTCTGCTCAAATTCATTCCCCAGACATCAATCCTCGTTAAGCCACTGCACCTGCAACAGAAGAAAGTCATATAGGAGTCAACAAACAATCTACGAAGTAGGATTTTGTAATTGAGACCACATAAGAGAGCACTTGTCTATGCATTAATCAAAGTGATACAATTGCTAACCAGAAGTTTGAATGTTATCTGAGTTGCAAAATGAAATTAAGTTGTTTCTTTCATGTCATCGCATTAATCTAAATTTGTTTTTTTGGGAGGATGTGACAAAAAATGAACTAAGGTCATCTGTTGGAACCTCATAATACTATCAGGATTCTTACCCATTACGCCATTACTAATGTGAGATTCCTAAGAGCATAAAGTGAAAAAAACACCCATATGATAACATGGACTTCACTGTGAAGTGAGATTTTTCTCATAATATAAAAGTGACCGTACCAGTAAGAAGTTTTCTTGGATATTTTCTCAGTTGAAGGCAACATACTGTAGGCAAAATTTCATCCTTCTAAGCAAAACAGTAACTAGGAGAATCTATTTTCTCGCAGCTTTTCTCCGTCTTTGTTTCATAGTGGTGGAATCCAATTTAGTTTGTTTGTATTTCTGAATCATGCTATATACCTGCCTTAATATAATTAAATAAATTAATAAGTAAATAAATAAATAAATAAATAAAGGTGTCACCAAGTCAATGGAAAACCAAAATGGATGACCATAGACTAGGGCACCAGGCAGAGTAATAAATTTTACAAAACCCCTTAGTTTAAGACCATATTCGAATTTTGGTAAAAATATGGCTCATTTGTGCACAAGAAAAAGTTCCAAGTTCCAAGTTCCAAAGAATGGGTTTCCACTTTCCAAATCTTAATCCAACTTATACATGAAAAGAAACTCTAATTTGGTATATTTGTACACATTACTTTTTTAACTCCAGATGTTAACCCCATGGTAGAGAGTTCTTCCCCATCAACATATTTCCATATTGCAGTCTCCTCACCTTGTTTGCTGTTCAGCAAATTCCTTTTTCCTGTACCAACGATACAAAACAACATAAAAGGAATTGACTTTCTTTTACTTTTTTGGCAGGGTATGGGAAATAACCAGGGGTCTAAAGTTAGGTGTTAAACAATCTAAATTATGCATTCTATATTTAAGGAATTATCATTTTCCTATGTGTGCTCCAAGTCAAAATCAAATATAAGAAAAATGCTTTCTTTTTCATTATTTTTGCTTTCCCTAGCACTTTTTAGGATCTAAAAGGACCTATGACAAGAATTGCATCCAGTTCACACAGAAAAATCTTTTCTTGAAAATCTTTCCTTGAGCCCCACACATCAAACTAAAAACAAAAAGATAAGGAAGCAAAAACCTTTAGGACAGAGAACCAACAATTCTATGAACATCTTGAGACGAATATGAGTGAAGATATGAACATATTCTCCTACGTGTTCCCTTAAAACAACAGTATAAGACTTCTTCGTGTCTAAGTTGACAGATGATCTCAGAAAATTGTCAGTTGCTTCTCTTCTTGAAATCAATTCCTCTTCTCCATCCAACAAGACAGACGGAAACTCCCATAGCCCAGCAAGCAAACCTTCAGTTGGCCTCTTCACGATAAGAAACTTACTATTAGAACCTAATGGGCTTTCTAATATCTCCACTACACTCACAGCAGAATAATCACGCCTTTGTTTAGCCTTGGCTACTTTCATTGGGAAATTAGTAACTCCAACAGATTCATCCTGTCTAGAGAGGGATAGGGCACCACATTGAGTTGAGATTGGACATGCATCACATCTTGGGTTCAACGGGGAGCATGTAGTTGCACCAAGCTCCATGAGAGACTGGTTGAGATCTCCAGGCCTACAAGGGTCAACTAATTGGCCGGCTAGATCCCTAATTCAGTGGTATTGAACAAATCAGGATATGGAATTGATTGAGGTATGCATATAGAATATCATTATATGGATGGTTAAAATGTGTTTAACGTTCTTACAATGCAACACTTCTTACATAAGATTGTTTATTTCTGCTACCATCCCAATAATTATGCCATTTTGTTTTAGTCCTTCTCCATCAACTTCCACTGTAAAACATGATGCGGGGGACTCTAGCCTAGCTTTTTCACGTCATTCTTTTAATCAAAAAATGCTGTATTCATTCCCAGCAAAGTACATTGAAAGTAAGATGGTACATTTCTTTTACCTAAGGATGTTTCCACTTGGACTGGTTTCAGTCCCAAATGGCCGGACCAGACCAGACTTAAACAAACCAGACTAGATCAAAATTCGAAAGTTGTAAAATACGCAAAGACCAGACATCAACCAGACTCATTTTTTTTTCATCATCATTTTCATTTACCCCAGTGCCGCAAAGGCTCCCACCTACGGTGGGGTAAGGGGGGGTCAGATGTACGCAGTCTTACCCCTGTTCTAAAGCACAGAGAGACTATTTTCGGATGACCCATAGTGAAAATCACGTCCAAAATTGCATGGACTGACTGCTGCTTCATAACAAAGAAGCGCAGACAGTTTAGTGAGCCATTTTGCTTTATTCCATCATAATCTCAAGCCAAAAAATAATGAATCTTTGTCTCCATTGCAAATGATGGAAAAAGACATCAACGAGACTAGACACATGGTTTAAAAAGGCGCTTATGAGGCGGGTTCTGAGGCGCGCCTCAAGCTGAGGCGTACTGGTTGGGTATCAAGGCGTAGGTTTTTTTCGTAGGTAAAGAGGCTTACGCCTCATAGATTGAGGCGCACGCCTCTTGAGGCGTTTGTTGAGGCGCACGCCTTGAACACTTGCGCAGCGACTTAAAACAGGTCCAAGTATTTCATTTAATAAAAGCCCAGATTTCTTTCTAAATAGATAGAAGCCCATATACTAAACCCTAACAAGTCTTATTTCATTCAAATCATGATAAGGATTTGAAGGATTTGAACCTTAACGTATATTTTCTATTCACCTACGCAAAGAACTCTCTCTTCTCCTACGACATCTCCTTACAACAGCCCAAAAGCTTTCAGGTAACTTTTCTTCTCCTCTCTTCTTCTCCATCCCCTTCTTTTTCTCCTATTCTTATTCAACTCCTCTCCTTCATTTCTTCTCCTTCACTGCTTTTTATCCTTCTTTTACGGAACTATTGTTCTTCTTCTCCTTCACTACTTCTTATCCTTCTTTTACAAAACTGTTGTTCATGTTTTCTAACTGGTAAAGGATTTACTTTGCTTCCTTAGTCATGTCATTAATAATACTTCTGTGTAGATTTAGTTTAATGGTGAGAGGTTCAAAGAAAAGATGTCATGTTTCTACTGCTACACCTAGTAGTTCTGAAGGCCTTGGTGATGCAATTTGTGTGGGTTGTTTCTGTGTGTTTGTGAGACTGTGATGTGTCTGTTTTTGTGAGATGTTTCTTTTTGTGTGTTTGAAGCCTAGCGACTTACTGGTAATAGGTCACATGTATTTGTGTCTCACACTTTTTGGACTTATAATTATGGATATCCTTTACTTCTTGAGTTGTTTGTTACTAGTTTAATTATATCAAGTTTTATATGTCTGTATTTTTTTAGGCTTACGCCTCAATACGCCTCAAGGCTTACGCCTCGCCTCTTAGGAACAAACCGCCTTGAAACCCGAACCCGCCTTTTTAAAACTTGACTAGACAAGAAAATTTCAGTCCAAGTAAAAACATCATAACTTCCATAACAGTCTATGATGAGCTATAAAAACTTGGAATGGTGTCAACATAAACTTTAAGCATTTTTTTAGAATGACATGGAAAATCAATCCTGCTGGAGTTCTGTCAACCACGTGTGCGGAGAGTGTCTAAAAAGAAAATGACATAGATAATGGTAAATTACAGTGTATAAGATAAATCAACTTTCTTTTACAAGGAAGTTATAACAAATAATCTATATATGCAAGGACAAAAAACATGCTCAGGGCTATTTTCAATTGCCCTAATTGTTTTGAGGAAGGGGAAAGATATGAGGTGTTCTTTAACTGGGAAACCTCACCAAAGATTCTTGACAGTCGCTTTGCTTTTAGGATTGGCAGATATGGCCTTAAGTCTTGCGATGACTCTGACTACATTTCCATCAACAACAGGCACTTTCTATATGGGACAATTTGTAAAACAGAAAAAATCTAAGCACAAAAGAAGATGTATTTCAACATTAAAAGAAAGGTAAGAATATATTGACCTCATTAAAGGCAATGGATGCAATAGCCCCAGCTGTATATTCACCGATCCCCTTAACCTTTCGAAGATCAGATGCAGTGTTTGGAAAACCATTTCCATTTGCAACTATCATTTTAGCACCCTGCAAAATGCAACTACTGGTATAATACTATAAATAAACAAATGCATTAAAAACATTTTTTTTAATTTATAGTTCTTTATTCTTGCAAGTCTTATTAAATTAACAATGGTTTGAAAAAACATTTTTTTAAACGAAATGTTTTTTAGTTTGATAAAAGTTGCTAAACTCGGTTCTTTATGTCTAGTTACATTAAATAAAGAAACATCAAACATAGAGAGTATTACACAAGAGACAGCAAGCCTACCTCTAGAAGAAAACGAGCCCTTCTATAATAGCCCAAACCCGCCCATATCTCATTCACCTCCTGCGTATCAATCCCAATTATGCAGATCCAATTATACATTTGAGATTCAATAAATAAAACCAAACTAGGAGTCAAAAAACCTCAAGAGAAGCTCGAGCCAAGTGTTGAACAGTCGGCCATTTCTCCATCCACCGGTTGAAGTAATCGATAACCGTCTGGACCCTTGTCTGCTGCAGCATTATCTCAGAAACCCAGACCTCGTAAGCCCTTTTTTCTTTCTCGTCCTCACTGACATTATCGCTCACTCTTCTCCACGGGAGGTCTCTTCGATTGCGATCGTACCATTCCAACAGAGAAGCCCTTATTTTTAGGGTTTCATCTTGGGCGAAAACGACAACATCCTCTATATCGCCTCCGCAGACTGGGAGTGCTTTTGTTGCTTCAAAGCTCCGCCGAGACCTCTTATTGGTTTTAGAGGCAATGGTGAGAACTTGCTTTTCCCCGCCGCTGTTCATGGAAGTGGTTGTGGGTGAAAAACGGTGGCGGTTGCCTTGCAATGCGACTGGACAGTGTGTTCCTTTTCCCGCTGAGGTTCGAAAATTTGAAGGTTTGGGCAAGCTCATCCGTACTTCACGAAGCAGAGATTTGAACAAAATTGTTACTTATACGAATTGTATCGAAAATGTGTAGTTTTGTGAAAAGATGAAGATCAAATTTAATATATATATATATATATATAGAAAACTCTAAATTACTTCTTCTTAATATCTGAATATTTTCTGAATTTCTAAGTGTCTTTGAAAGGCATCACCAAACCCCTATTTATACTGGTGGAAATTGGTGATGAATCATCAAAGAATCATATAATATGCTGGCAACATTAAACCTAGCCATCTGTCTATTACAAGGATGGAAATTGGATTAGTGTCCTGATGACAAGGATGAACAATTCACACTTGTCATTTTCAGGAATTTACAACACCCCCCTTGAATGTTCATCCTTGAATAGTTATTTGTTATTTTAAAAACTTATTGTGAAATTAAGGAGTAAAAATTACGACTTATAATGTCGTTGATGGAGTATATGGGTCTGAGCCCCCGGACCCACATACTCGGAAGAATAGAAAGCACAAGACAGAATGGTGCCCTCGTCGGCCAAGACGCCCCCGTCGGCCAAAAAGGGGCCAACTCAGATTATGGTCCTGAGCCCAAGGAACCCGGGTGCCCTCGTCGGCCGTACCCTCGTCGGCCACGCCCTCGTCGGCCACGAAGACCTCTCAGAACCGGATTTTACACTTACTCATTTGTACAGCCCGTTAGTGGCTTTGTATTCGGCCCAGTAGCGGTCCAGTTGTAAATGGGCCTCCCAAGCCCAAGACTTGGGAGCCCAGCCCGTATTTTCTCTATAAATACTCCCCTTGGGAGTAGTTATAGGGGTTACAAAATCATTCTATTGAAGCATATTATTGCACTTCTCTATCTAGCTCTCACTTCTCTCTAGATATACTCTATCATTTGGTGCTCTCGTTGAGAGCTAGAACAATCAAGTTAGCACCCTTCGTCGCTACCAAGCACAACTAACCACTGATCATGGGGAGAACTAAGTCAAACCGCAACCTCGTCAGCAAGGTCATCCCTGAGGACCAAGAGCCCAGGGAGCACGATGAGGACGCCACGGCCGACCAGGCCGGCGGAGGGGACCTCTTCCAGGAGGCCTTCAACCTCACGACGGACCTCCGCAACCAACTCAACGACGGAGTCCCCAACGCCCGCATCGGCTTGGACAAGAAACGAGCTGAGAAGACGGACCACGCCCCGGCCCAGCCTATGGCCGCGGCCTCTCCGTCCGTGGATCCGCAGGTCCAGGCCGCGTTGTCGGTCATCATCGCCAGTCTGGCTCAGAACCCCACCGTCCTCAACGCACTCTTGCCAAGGACCGGGGGGAACGTCACTCCACCTCCTCATCCCCAACCGTTGGCCGTCCAGATAGGCAACAATGAGGGGGTAATGGCCCAGGACACGGCGTCGTCCCACTCCCACCCTGCTTCCCCTCTTCGGCCCGGGCAGACCCCAGCGCGTGGAAAAGCCTCTGCCCTCAATAGGCTAGGTGACACGCGCCGTCGTCCGGTTTCGGAGAGGATGGCGGGACGGATTGGTGATCCTCGTCCTGGCTCGCCAAGGGAAAGCTTGGGGTCCGTGTCCCGGACAGCGGACCAGCCCGCCCGGACAAGGGCAAGGGAAAGTTGCACGAGGATGACGTGCGTCACCAGATCAACGCGGCTCACAACGAGCGCATGAGGAACCAGCCGGGCGCCGCCGCGGCCGACAGGGACCCCCGGGACGAGGTCATCGCCCAGCTGGAAAGGAGGCTGGCTCAGATGGAGGCCAAGCAGTCGGCCAACATCCCTACGGCCGGCGCCTCCAACGACCCCGGCCTCAACGCGCTCATGAACAAAGTTAGCGCCATGGAGAGGGAGCTGGCCGAAGGGCGAGGTGACCCCATCATCCAGGTCAGGACCAGGACCCCTTTCACCAACAGGGTCCTCTCGGCCCCCATCCCGGAGAAGTACAGGGGGAACGCCATCAAGTCCTACGATGGCCGATCAGACCCCCAGGAACACTTCAGCCGTTACCAGAACAACATGCTGATGGTGAACGCGTCCGACGAATACCTCTGCCGTTGGTTCCTCTCTACTCTCGAGGGGCCAGCGTACGAGTGGTTCAACGGGCTCCCCGAAGGGAGCATCGACCCATGGCAGGATCTCGCCCAGCGCTTCCTCACTCATTTTGCCGGGAGGAAGCGCGCGAAGAAGTATTTTACCCACCTCCTCTCCGTCAAGCAGCAGCACGAGGAGTCCCTCCGGTCCTTCATTGATCGGTGGACGAGGGAAACCGAGGAGGTCGAGGGGGGCGATGAGCGCACCCTCCTCGCCTTGTATCAGGGAGCCCTCCGCAGCTCCCCGTACGCTAGGAGCCTCATCACCGACCCCCCAAGGTCGTACGCCAAGGCACTCCAGCGCGGAGGCTTGTATGCTGACGCCGATGAGCTCCACAATCACAAGAGAGAGGGGGGCCACCCCTCCAAGAAGACAAATCCTTCGCCGGCCCCGGGTCCGTCCCCGGCCGGCCAGGGTGCCCAGGGCCGTCACGGCTCTGGTGGACAGAGTAAGAAGGATCGCCACTGGCGGCCGAGGCTGGAACGGCCGGGGGTAACCCTCACCCACCCGGTCGGCACCATCCTCGATTATGCTGAGAAGCACGGCCTCATCGAGAAGGTTCCTCGGCCGGCCGAGGAGGTCCTTGCCATCCAGCAGGGCGGCACATACTGCCGGTTCCACAAGAACTCGTCGCACAACACCGACGATTGCATCACACTGAAGAAGGCCATCGAGCGCCTTATTCGCCAGGGGGAACTCTCCCAGTTTGTCAAAGGTGGCCCACGCAAGAACACTTGGGTAAACACCGGCAAACATGGGGGCGAACCCTCTACGAAAAAGCGGGAGATTGGTAGGCTCAGCGACGACGAGGACTTCGAAGAGCCCCCGCCGAAGAAGAATCACATCCACCTCATCGTAGGTGGGAACACTGGGGGGGACTCCGCCACTCAGAGAAAGAAATGGGCCCAATCCCTTTACATTGGGGAGGTGTCCCACGTTCCCCCCCCCCCAGCCGAAGAAGCAGCGAACGGAGGCGATCACCTTCACCGACAAGGATCTGCCTCCGGGTACGGAATCACACAGGGACGCCCTCGTCATCCGATGTGAGATCGGTGACTCCATCATCCATCGTACTTACATCGATACAGGGAGCTCCGTCAACGTGATGTACCTGGACACCTTCAAGCAGCTGAAGCTGGACAGAGCCCTGCTGAAGCCGATCAAGACACCGTTATCCGGCTTCACCGGGGACTCTATCGACGCCGAGGGCACGATAGTCCTCCCCGTGGAGGTCGGTGACGGCCCCCACCACGCCAGAATTAACATGGAGTTCATGGTGGTCAACCTCCAGTGCGCCCACAACTTGATCTTGGGGCGGCCAGCACTGGAGGACTTGGAGGCCATCATCTCCATGAAGCACTTGTGCCTGAAGTTCCCCACCAACGACGGCATCGGCTACGCCAGAGGAAACCAGAGGATAGCCAGGGCGTGCTACCTCAAATTGACAAGGCCGGCCGAGAGGGAGGGCCAGAGGATAGACACCATCACGGCCGCCGTCGCCGCGGACGAGGAAAGGCCACATGCTGAGCCGGCCGAGGAGGTCGAGGAAATCCCTCTGGATACCTCCCGGCCGGAGCGGGTTCTCCGGGTCGGAAAGCAACTCCCCCAGGACCAAAGAGACGCCATCCTCCTCGTCCTACGGTCATACGCCGTTGTCTTCGTGTGGGGCCCGGACGATATGCCAGGCATCAGCCGCCAGGTGATCACTCACCGGCTGACCGTCGATCCGGCCTCCGCGCCTGTCAAACAGAAGCGGCGCTACTTGTCCGCCGACAGGCGGGACTTCGTCAAAGGGGAGGTCGCCATGCTCCTCTCAATCAAACACATCAAAGAGGTGAAGTACCCGACATGGTTGGCCAACGTCGTCCTCGCACAGAAACCGCCGACGTTCAGAATGTGTGTTGATTACACTGACCTGAACAAGGCATGCCCCATGGACCCGTTCCCTCTCCCAAACATTGATCAGCTGGTGGACGAGATGGCGGGGTGCGAGTTGATGTCGTTCCTCGACGCTTTCAGAGGGTACCACCAGATCTCCATGCATGAAGATGACGCTGAAAAGACGACATTCATGACCCCAGAGGGAGTCTTTTGCTACCTCGTCATGGCCTTCGGACTCAAAAACTCCGGCGCCACCTATACTAGGATGGTGGCCAAGATCTTCAGAGCGGTCCTTGGCCGGACGATGGAGGCGTACGTCGATGACATGATCGTCAAGAGCAGGCATGCCACCTCCCACGCCGACGACCTCCGGGAAATCTTTGAAATAATGAAGGAGTTCAGGCTCCGCCTCAACCCCAAGAAGTGCGCCTTCGGCGTCCAAGGCGGCAAGTTCCTCGGCTACATGGTCAGCCGGAGAGGCATCGAGATAAACCCGGAGAAGACGCAGGCTATCATCAACATGGAGCCGCCCCGCAACGTCAAGGAGGTACAGCGACTGACGGGGCGCCTGGCGGCTTTAAACCGATTCCTCTCCAGGTCAGCCGAGAGGGCACTCCCTTTCTTTCAGATCATGCGGAAAGCCAACAGCTTCAAGTGGACGACGGAGTGCCAGGAGGCATTCGACGAATTGAAAAGGTACCTGTCGTCCCCACCCGTGCTCTCCAAGCCCAAAGCCGGCGAAACCCTCTTCTTGTACTTAGGGGTGAGCACGTCGGCCATCAGCTCCGTGCTCATCCGTGAGGACGAAGGGGTGCAAAAGGCCATCTTCTACATCAGCAAGACACTCAGGGAGGCCGAGCTCAGGTACTCCCCCATTGAGAAGACGGTGTTGGCCATCGTCCACACGGTGAAGAAGCTGGGGCACTATTTCCAGGCCCACACCGTCCATGTGCTGACCCAGCAGCCTCTCGGCGCACTCATGAGGAGCCCCACCAGCTCCTCAAGGATGGTGAAATGGGCGATCTTCCT